GGGTGTTTCAGGATCAACAAAATCCTCCGGTTTCTCATCTTCACCTTCTCTTTTTGAGCTTTTCTTCTTAGATGTCTTGGGAGCAGTGGCAGCCTGTTGCGCCTTCAGCACAAATCAAAAACCATATAAAAGAGTTCCGGCATTAATAACATTATAAATCTTAAGAATTACAACGACAGTACCACGTTAAAGCTTAAGGATTACTATATTGTCTTCAATACTGACAGCAAGGACTGGAACATATAAATTTTACATGTGTATAGTGACTAAAATCTAAAATTGCAATATATGAAAACAATGATGGATCAAGCTTACCTGCAACTTAGCTGCTTCTGCCTTTTGTGCTGCCTTGAGTTTTTTCAGTTCTTTATCTTTGGCCTGAGATGGGGGGAAATGACAGAAACAAATTTAACTTCATAATCCGACAGCACAAAGTTTTGAACTTTAAATATGGGTAAAATTCAATCTTCCCAGCTTATCTCAACTCAGAAATGACATTAGGTCGGCTCCGGATGAATAAGCAAAAAAAGTGAATAAAGAAGGAAGTGAGCATAACGTAAAATCATGGGTGCTTAAAAACCTTTTCCTCTTTCTTCTTCTTCTTTTCTAGCTCTTCAGGAGTCATGGTTTCCCTCCACTAAGGAACCTACCTGGATGAAGGAAATGGAAGTTACGAACTGATGGGGCGGCCGAGTAGACTGTCGATTAGCGCCCTGCGTGTGCGTGCCGCTGTGGACCGTGGTCTCATACTCTTATGGCCTGTGGATATGGATTTGGGATTTCGATTTTTGGGCTGTATTTTTGGGCTTGGACAGTTGGACGGCTAGCCGCTACTTGCTTGGGAGAAAGTCAATGGTAATTGGTAAATGTTAATATCAAAATTGGCTTAATCGACTGAAGTGGCTAAATTGGATGATTCTGTTGATTTATATAAAAGTTATATTTATAATATATTTTATTAATAAAATAAATAAAAAATTATATGCAAAATAGTTAAAATGATCTTCTACAGTACCTTGAGCCAATACGGCCATAAAAGTAACTTCAACCTTACTTTTTTTATTATTACACAATTAAGTGGAATAAAAAGTTAAGTGTTTGGTGAAAAAGTTGACTGATATAACATGCTCTTATTGTTAATAAGATCATTTATTGGAACAGATAACAAAAGTACTATGTGATTGGATGTGTTTTGACTTGGGGATAAATGGTTTTATATTGGCCGAATTTGGATTTATGATATTGCACCATGGCATTGGAACTTGGAAGGGTTGATGCACTCAAGATAAATAATATTACTGATGTGTCATGTGTGCCTTTTTTTTTACATGACCTTATTTTTACATTTTGGGTGCTACATTGCACAACGAGTCATCTAATCTAGTAAATGTCACTATTGATATACAAATCATCATTTTAATTTTTTTTATATACAAATCATCATTTTTAAACATTATTTAATGAAAATTAATATTCTTATAAGATTTAATTAAAATCAAAATTCCAAGAAGATTAAAATTAAAATATTATTCCAGAAAAATTAAAATATTGGTGACTAAGCTAGCAGCGTTTGTAGGCTATTAGTTTGTATTTACTTTATTATCTATCTTTAATTCTTGCACCACATAAGAAAGACTTAAAGTCGTTAGCTTAATTAATTTTTAATGCTTTCCACAAAATTATTTTTATTAAAGAATTTTCAAGAATTAGTAATTAATTTCAGAAATAAAGTAATATACAATGATTTAAGTATTAACAATGACATTACCACATTAGGTGATACATCATACATGCATGGTGCCATATGCCCACATAGCAGCCAAAATGTAAAAACCATATCGAGGTCAGCAAAACTACTATGCAGAAAGATTTAACGGTGTTGGTGCGTAGACCCTCCAACACTAACAACGCAATACCACGAATTCTAGTTTGACCAAAATCAAAACACATAGGCCTAAGTCAAAATGTGCCCTAACCATAAAGCACTCTTGTGAAGTTTTCCTTATTTTTTTATTAATATAATATATTTTAATTTATATTTGATTAACCACACTTTAATCTTTCTGCATATCCCCTCAATTGTAGTTATTCATTTCTTGGAATGGATAAACTCTCTTCCATAGAACACTTAAGTTGGAATCTTAATTAAACTTTGATTTGAGTGTAATTTTTGTTACTTTATTAACTTTTTTGGAGTGTCTAAGTTCACAATCATGTAGGATAGTCACATGTGTCCTTCATGCAGTCTTGTGTGTAATGAGGACGAGTTAATACTTGACTTGAATCTTCTTATAAATTTTAATTGATCAAATTACACAAATGCATAAAGTGTATTCTAGGTGTTAATATTATGATATTTTAGTTTAAGTCTCTTGTATATTATTATTTCCTTTTATGTGTATACTCTTAGAGAAAATGCAATAATTTCTATAAGGGAATACACTAAAAGCAAGAACTAGGGAAATGTTCAGCACACTTGACATTAATCTTTTTATCCAAATTGATTTGGTTTGCACCGTTAGACAATAAAAAATACATATAGAACATTAGGATTTTAAAAATATTAAACTTTAGTTGTGTGTTGTATTTGACTTATTTGAATAGATCAGGATAAACCATATCATTTTGGATATAAATACATCAAATTACATCAAATTCAAATAGATCAAATCATATCAAAAATAAATGAATCAAATCATATGAAACTTAAGCGTACTAAACCAAAATAGACCAGACTTCAATACACTATTTATGGAGTCAATTTAACTAACTTTGAATTTATGATTATAGCATCCTCCGTATTTTTCAAAATTGTTACTCAATAAACTTACAAGTGGAGTGATTTCTGCACTCTATTTATGATAATATACTATGAATATATCATTAAGAGATGCACTTTTTGCTAATAAGATTTTTTATTTAAGAAACTCTCACCACATTTTTTATTCAATCTAATGTATCGTTTGATCTATTTAGGGCCATTAGATCATAAAATATAAGGAATAAATATTTCTTATTTTCATGAGAATGACATTTTATTTTAACCAAAACCTGAGACATTTAAAAGTAACATATTAAATCAAACAAGATATTTTAAAATGGGACGGATGGACTCAGTATGGTTCAAAGATGTAGAAGTGGTAAAAGTAGATTTTTGTAAGCCTAATTGAATTTTAATGGAATAGACTGAAATGGAGGGGAGGAAGGCAAAAACATAACAATTCACACTAGGGGATTTTTTTTGTGCAAACGAATAATCCTTATGCGCCTGAGACGGATCTTCATTGTAAAAGCCTAACTTCCTCATCATCACCAATCTTAGCTCATACTCTCTGCTTTGTGCTTTAGAAATTACTTCCCTCTTTTTAAATGGGAAGATTTTGAAGGAGGAAATACAGAAGAGATTATATTTCAAGCACATCAGAAGAACGTGCGGGTGCTTTGATAATTATACCACCATAGAATCACAAGAGCAAAATAATTATCTTATTTTTTTCTAATGCTAGAAGTTTTACTTTTACTTTACCCCATCACTTTTATTTGTTCTCGTGAATACTTATCCCAACTCTGAAGCGTATAATATTATCGCACTGATGTTGCACGTATGTTGCACGGATGAGTCGCACCTATACTGCACCACAATCACACATATATTGCACTAATGTGGATATGAACTCCCCTTCCAGAAGCATTAAATTTGAACATTGTGATTCATCTAAATATGCTCCTACAGACAAATCTTAATAAGAATACCAAACAAGTTGGTGTACATATTATGTAACCATTAGCTATTTTAAAGCCAGCAGGAAGTCCAATGATCAAGTTGATATGTAGTATATCATTAAGATGATGCAGGTTTTGCAGATAAGATTTTTAAAAAAAATGTCAGCTCATTTTCTATTCAATCTAATGCATCTTTAACCTATTCAAAACCATTAGATCATAAATACAATGCAATAAATTTATATTTATTTTCTCGAGATTGACATTTTATTTTAACCAAAACCTGAAAGATTTAGATGTAACATAATAAATCAAACAAGAAATTTTGAAAACAGATGAACTCGCTAAGATGGTAAGATTCAAAGATATAGAAATGGGAAAAGCGGAATTTTGTGGGGATACTTGAATTTTAATGGAATTAATTGAAATGGGTGAAAAGGCAAAAACAGAACAGTTCATACCAAGGAATTTATCTGCAAATAAACAGTCCTTTTTCTTGCTATAATGTAAAAGAAATCTAGGTTTCAAAAGACAGTACCTTAAACATGTCTTCATTGTAACGGCCATCACTGAAAGCCCGAGTTCTTGCCATGGCTGGACTTCTCTAAAGGCCTCCAATGCTTTATGCACCTGAGAAGGATATGAAGCCATATACATTAGCAAGTAGGCATTGAAGTCATTGGCATAGAAAGAAGGAAAGCGTTTGTGTGAATGATTAGAAGAGTTATGAACAACGTTAGACCTAACTTCCTCATCATCACTGATCTAAGCTCTTGCTCTCTGCTTTGTGCTTTATAGATGACTTTCCTCTTCTTAAATGGGAAAAATGTGAATAGGCAAATGCATAAGAGATTATATTTCAAGCATAGCAAAAGAATGTGAGGGTGCTTTGTTAATTAATGTCATCGCAGAATAACAAGAGCAAAATAATTACCTGTATTTTTTTTCTAATGCTTGAAGCTTTTCTTTTACTTCACCCCTTCACTTTTATTTATTCTCCCGAATGCTTATCCCAACTTTGAAGCATATAACTATTACATCAGTTTTTGCGATTTATAAAGTATGTCACGAAGTAGTGAGTCGCACATATGTTGCACTGATGAGTAGCACCTATATTGCACCACAATTGCACGTATATTGCACTAATATGGATATGAACTCCCCCTTCACAAGCATTTTAAATTCGAACATTGTGATTAATCAGAATGTGCTCCAATCTTAATAAGGATAACAAATAAATTGCTATGTATAAATCATGTAACCATTAACTGTTTTAAAGCCAAAAGAAAGTCCAAGTCTAATGATCAAGTTGACTACTATTATGAAAGTGTAGGATATCGAACACAACTCAAAAGGCTCAAAAGGCTAGAACAATGTGGTTGTAGTTGTCTATTCGAATTATCACATATCAACTCAATACGAATCTAAAAACTACTTGACAAATGGCAAACAATCCACACTCTTGATTGAAATGTTTTCTATGGTTAAATAGTGCACCAATGAAATACTTATAGATCATTTTGCTAAATGTCGATGAGAACATATTATGGTTTTTTGGTAAAACACTAAAGCTCCAGGATGAACAATGCAACTAACATCCATCTCTAAGAGGTCAAAACACTAATAAAAATATGTCAGACTCTTCTCGTTCTCGCCATGTGAGGCTGTGATCAGTTTCTAATTTGTTTTCCCTTGCTGACCCTATTAGAAGAAGCTCCTCCTCTCTTCAGCCTTGCGAATATCTTTCGGATAAGAAAAAGCTTGTGCGACTGTTGGGCAATTAGATTTGCAAGCGGAGTCCGTTGGCTCAACACTATCTCATATCCATCACCAAAATTATCCATCCCTTCTGTAAACAGCTGCCAGAATAGGCCCCCAGCAGCGGCTCCCCCATGTTTGGCCGACAAATATATTTTGTAGTACACCGTGTTGTACAGAGTGTCTCTCTGGCTGGAGGTGAAGCCCGTGTCTTTCCGGGATTTCCCGAATTCTGAGATCAGCAGTGGCTTCTTCAGGGTGTGCTGAGAATCTTGAATGTGAAAGTCAAGCCAGTTGTTGAGGAATGCCAGTTGGTCTGCATCATTTGAGCTCGTCAACCTGTCAGTTAAGGGATGGCCTCCACATTATGCACAGAAAATTTGGTTACATTTAGTGTGACATCGGATATACTCACTGCTGACACCATAAAATACTAGTAAATACTAGTTTACGAATTATGATTGTATTCCATAAAATGACACATATTAATTCACACTTCAGTCTTCCAATCATTATTGCAGAGATTTTAGAAGGTATCTTAAAATTTATGGATGTTGGTTAGAGTATAAAAGATGGAATACATAGAGAAATAAGATCCAATGTTAGTAAAAATTGTATCCAAGTATTAAACAATAGAGCAGTTGCAAGAGAACAAAATTCGAAAAAATATTGATAAATTTCATTTAAAAAAGTAGAAAAATGTGCAATGTATTAATTACCACTGATCAGGATAGACGTGAGTCGTAGCAAAATCAATGGCAGGAATACGGTTGTTTGCAATGAAGTCAGTTCCAACGTTGAGACTGAGGTTCAGATTTTTATTATTGTTCCACGAAGATGACGTTTGCCCATAGAATCCTTCTAATCCGGCTTCTAGCAGATGGATTCTATCTATGGACTTCAAATAATTGGCCATTTCCATTATCCATGCCTGACATGAAAAAGCACATTTTTCATATAATAAGGTGTAAACCAATTATTAAATCATAATAACATCTTTTCTGACTGAAAATCTTACTCCATATAAAATTTTAGACACAATATTTTATGACTACCTAGGTCATAGTGAAACTATGAAAAAATCTTGATAAAAACAAGAAATCGAATAATATTTAGAAGTAATGTTTAGGAGATCAATATTTTGTGACACTATTGTTGATTACTTAGTAACTAGTAATCATTTTTTGAACCAAATTCGACCCTTTACGTTACATGCATTGGTCCAAAATGATTACGAAATTTGCTGATAATCATGCACTAAAGTATCCTAATATTTTCTCAATATTGGTCAGAACTAACATTACCGATCAAAGTGAAAAATAAAAATATCAGACAAGTATGGTTAGCAACAAAGATTTTCCATCTATGGCTATACACTTATACGGTTATACCACACCAGACCAGCGGAAACAGAATAATTTCAAAAAGGAAAACAATTAATGAGAGGGTAAATCCAAGAAATTAAAGAACGCGAAAACGTAATTTTGCAATATGTAGTTTAAATCTATGAATGCATCCCAAGTTCAATCTCTTATTAGTATATGATTCTCAATTACGTATATATATGTGTGTGTGTGTGTGTGTAAGTATTAGATACTTATCAATTAATTAACTAATACGATAGTACTTTTTTTGGAAAACCCCCCAAAGTTATGGAAGAATTCCTAAAAAGGAAGACACCGAAGTCCCCAAGACTTAGGACATAAAAATATATCATGTCTGCAATTAGAATATTATAACTTAGATTGAAATTTCCTAATCCAGTCTGGTTTATATAAATCTAATATGTTCTGATAAATGTATTATATGTGATTTTTTTATTGCATAAGTATGATATGAGCTAGTTTTATTTGATCTGTTAAAATCTGATCTAATATGTCTAATCTATACTACGTATGTTATAAGCCCAATCAAAACATCCTTACTAACCAAGTAACCATCAATTCACAATGACCTGAGAATATTAGATCAGGTTGGTGATCTAAGCCCATGCAGTTATCAACAAGCACCTGAGAAGTACTACTATTAAATATGTTGGTGATCTCTAGGTCCAAATATTAAAGAATTAACATTTTTATCGATCGAGCATGTTTTCAATTAGTGACATCCCATAGATACTCCAGTAAAGTACTGCCAGGAATTTAGCCTCTCAATAAAATACCTACTGATAGATCATAAATCCTATCTATCTACTAAAATTAGAAACCTAGATATTGAAAAGTTAAGGATGTCAATTGCTGTAAAATAAACTTAAAGAAAGATCTGGTGTTAAATTATGAAGCACTGTACAAACACAATAAGAACCTGAATAGTAGATCCAGATGGATCTGAGGTGCACCTAGGCTCATTCATAAGCTCCCAAGCCATGATTGTAGGGTCATTCTTGTAAACAACTCCAGTCCAAGTGTTTCTTCTGTTCAGAACAGTCTATGAGCCACACAAATTAAATCCACCACCATAGTCAGTACAAGAGCACATAACTGATTGCTTGATCCATGGAACTATAAATAAAAACAATGATTGATAATCTTACATTTATATGGTTCTTGTAGTACCCTTTCACAACATTGTTTCTGAAGAAATCATCTTCAGAGCTTAAATACTGCCCTTGATCTCTAGCCCAGTTCACATACTGCTTCTTTCCCCCAAAACTGTCATAATTATTTGCCAGGCTTAGAATCACCTTAATCCCATATCTCCTTGCTTCAGCTATCACAAAATCCAAACCCTTCCATACACAAACCAGAAAAAGTTGTCAGCTGTAAATATAATTTCATTTTAAGGCTATGTTTGGAACTGGGGAATCGGGGAAAAGTATAATAAGGCAATCTTTCGATCTCAGAGAACACAAAGAAAAGAAAATGTCAACAGCTTTATTTGCTTATGGTTGGATGTACTTTAGAAAAAGAATAAGAAACCTAAAACAGACACTAAAGAAAGATTGGGGAAATAGTGTGTAAAATGATTTTTTAAAGAAAGTATGTAAAACGATTAGGAAAATAGTCCAAATACTGTATAAAACATTAGGATGTTAAAAATATTAAACTTTAGTGGTATGACATACTTAACTTATTTGAATAAATCAGGATAAATCATATCATTTCAGATCTAAATACATCAAATTACATCGGAACTAAAAGAATCAAATCATTAAAATCATATCAAACTTAACTGTACTAAACCAAAATAGACAAGGCCAGCAAATAGCAATATAAAAAATAGCAAACTTGAATATACATTGCTCACAGAGTTAATTTACCTATGTTTCAGTAAACTTAAAATTTTACATCCTCTGGTATAGCATCCTCCATATTTTTAAAAAAATTTGATTCAGTAAACTTATAAGTAGGTGATTTCTGCACTCCACTTATGATCATATACTATACATATTTGATATATCATTAAGATGATGCAGTTTTCGCAAATAAGATTTTTTTATTTAAAAAAATGTCACCACATTTTTTATTCAATCCAATGCATCGTTTACCTATTCAGAGTCATTAGATCATAAAAACAATGCAATAAATTTATTCTTATTTTCATGAGAATGACATTTTATTTTAACCAAAACGTGGAAGATTTAAAAGTAACATAATAAATCAAACAAGAAATTTTGAAATCGGATGGACTCACTGAGATAGTAAGATTCAAAGATGTAGTGGGAAAAGCGAGATTCTGTGGGCGTAATCGAATTTGAATTTGAACGGAAAGAATTCAATGCAAGAAAAAAAGGCAAAAACAGAACAGTTCAAGCTAAGAATTTTGAGGCAAATAAACAGTCCTTATTCTCTTCGTACAGTGTAAATAAAATATAGGTCTCAAAAGACACTACCTTAAACATGTCTTCATTGTAACGGCCAGGAGCATACTGAAGAGGCTTGTAGCCGCCATCACTGAAAGCCCAAGTTCTGGCAACGGTCAGGCCATGGCTGGACGCTTCTCTGAAGGCCTCCGATACTTTGTGCGCCTGAGAAGGATCTGAAGCCATATACATTAGCCAGTAGGCGTTGAAGCCGTTGGCATAGAAAGGACTTCCATTCAGCAAGAAATGAATCCCTTCGGTTCTGATGAATCCATCTCTTGCCTTCACTTGAAGAAGGAAAGCGTTTGGGTGAATGATTAGAAGAGTTATGAACAAGGATAGGCCTAACTTCCTCATCATCCCGATTTAAGCTCTGGGTCTCTGTTTTGTGCTTCAGAAATGGCTTCCTCTTTTGAAATGGGGAAAAGTGAAGGAGGAAATACAGAAAGATTATATTTTAAGCCCAGCAAAAGAACGTGGGGGGGTGCTTTGTTATCAATGCCGTTGCAGAATAGGGACAGGACAGTGTATCAGTGTATGGGAAGAAGATTATGGAATGGCCGAGCTTTTACCTTTACCTTTTACGGAGTATCTCTTTCTCTTGAAATGCTTATCGCCTGGTCTGATCTCTGAAACAACTGAATATCGATAATTACGATGTTTGTACTGAGTGAGTGTCAGACGTATTTAACCAGGATAATACTGTATTACCCCATCCCATTCATTAATAATGAAAGGAAAATAATCGAATACTTGTGTTGAAGTTTAAAATTTTGAGCTTGATTGTTTTTTTGGAATAAATTCTGAGCTTGATTAAAAAATTAACACTCGTTCATGGAGAAGGAAAACGGAAAATAATACTCTGTAATACATCTCGATTAAAGATGTATTCCGTATATAATTAGTTAGATTATTACTACTCCGTATAACTTATGAACATCACGCAATATAACGGCTGCGAAAGAAAAAGCAACTTACCCTTATTCACACTCGATTTTTTTGTAGTAAATAAAATTTACATATTCAGAAATTATATTAAAATCGCTACAAAGTCTGATCAAGACAGTTTAAGTTTGATAAAAAAATTGATATATAAAATAAAGGATTATGAGTGATTCAAGTTGATCAATGAATAGTGACTAGAAACTTCTTTCAGGGACGGAGGGAGTATTATAAATTAAACTTTTGAAATATATGTGTTGAAATTAATTCCTCACCGTCCAAAGGTCCAACAAAATCATTTGGCCTTTCGTAGGGTTTTTTGAAGTTACTTCAGTGGGTGTTAAGGCAAGATAACAATAGAAATCATAACAAGTGAACAATTGTGTACATGTTTCTATTAAGTTCTTAGAACGATTACAACACTTATGTCGACAGTGAGCTTCGACCCCTAGATCAAGCTGAATTTTACCCACAGAACTAGAGAGAAGTATACTGATAAATACTGATAAGTACATGTTTATCAACCATTTACAATCAAATAAATATTGTTATTTATACTACAGAGTATTAGGTGGTTGTGGTGATGCGCTCAACCCTGAGTCGTTAACTCGCAACCATAAAATCCTCCAAATCTAGTGCATTAAATGGCTTCCCGCCAATTCCAGCTTTTTAGCCAATTGTTTGGGGAACTCTTCTTTGGATGAATCTAATAGAAAAGTCCAGGTGAAGAGAGCAACCCGATCGTCGCTACCCGTGCGAGGAGGCCGTGCGAGCTACCAGGCTTGTCTGGGCTGCGATTGGGCCCGTCTGCGGATTGGGGCCTCTAGGGTACATCCCACTATCCAAACAATATTGTTAAATTCCTCGCATTCTAAATTTTTGAAAACTGGATTTATTTAATTCTTTAAATGAAAGATATGTTTTCAAAAAATGAAAAATACTATTGATCAAACTTATGTGTATGCAATCGTGAATTGTTGACTATTGCAATTAAGAAAAGAGTGAAGGAAATATTAGTTTGTTCATTGAAAATGTGTGGAGGTATAATTTCTTATGAATACTTTAATCATACATATGTTCTTATCAATGCGATAAGCATGAAAATTATGTACTCCTCTGTCTCACTGGAATTTGCCAATTTTTCTTTTTATTAAGTCCATAAATTTTTGTCATTTTCCTATTAAAGCAATGAATTTGTGACTCAATTCATTTCTCTTTTCATTGCACAATTCTCAAATACACGATTTTTATTATTTCAATTTTCCAAATAACATCAACTTGACAAAGTTGAGTGGAACTGAGCTCATATTTATTTTTGTCAAAAAGATTTTCGATGAAATCATACAAGTTGAAAGTAACACGATTAGTATATGGAATAATTTGAATCACTAAATTACTTTATTAGTTCCAATTCAAGTTACAAGTTCATGGGGCCCACTCTAACTACTTCTTGAAGTCACGCACTAATATCTTTCCTCTTCTTGAAGTCACGCACTAATATACGGAGTATTTCTCTTCTACATAAATGAAAAATTATTGACAAACTATTTAATGTATTCTTCGTACGGAGTATCTATTAATGTTTATTAATATGTCAGAGATTATGCTAAAATAACATGATATTCAAGTGGACTTATTTCAGTTTCAAGTCACCTCGAATCATAGTGATCATACATTAAAGCACACCAAATTAAAATAGATAAATATTATAGATAATAACAGACATGGACATTAGTAAAATACATCTAGAGGTTAGGCCGTTTGGTAAGGATGTTTTTCGGTTTATCAGACTTATCAGCCAACTTTTTCAGCAAATACGTAATTTTTTATTTTGCGCGCTGAATTGTGTATTAATAAGAAAAGGTAAAATTGAAGTTACTTTTCTGGCTGTATTGGGTGAAATTACTGTAGATGGTCAATTTAGTTATTTTTACATATAACTTTTTCTTGAGTTTAGTAATAAAATATATTTTAAATATGATTTTTTCTTAAGTCAGCAGAATCGGTTAATACAGCCACTTCGGTCAGAACTTCATAAATTTCAGCAGAATTTTCCGATCCAACCGATTTTCGTACTACTAAAAAGGCTCCTAATATTATACTGGGATATATTTAGAGAAGTTCTCCCAATACGGGTAAACAAATTTTGAAATTTCAAAATAGGACTGATATAACTTTTCCCAAAATAGGAATAACATGGCAATATCTACTGTCATCCTGGGGTCATTACTATCAAAATAATTGCAATACTATGCATTAATGTATGACAGTATTTGCTGTCGATCATGGCAATATTTTTCAATCATGACAGTAATGAGTTCTATTTCAGTATGAGATAGTATCTTGATCATATTCAAGATTGTGAGGTTTTTCATAAGGAATTTGAGCATCATTCCAAGCTACTCAGTCCTCCAAGGTTTTTCACTAATAGCATTGACTTGTCAGAAGCTACTCATGTCCTTGTCCTTCTCACACCTTCTGGATTTGAACATAGAGCCCTCCAGAATGTCTAACACTAGTCTAGTTTACATGGGTAAAAACTAAACTACCAACTAGTTCTAAGCTCTAAAGATGTGTATGAATTTGAGCTAGTCTAAGAGCTTAGATAAGTGGGGTGGAAACCAAAATGGTGAAGGAGAATTAGCATTTGTGCTTGCTGAGTATGTTCGAGTGATCCTTGACTCGCCTTTGTTCCACCTGGATCCACACTTGTTCTTCCCACACTCCTGTATTTATATACTTGTTGTTGAAGCTCCACCGTTGACTGAAGAGTTCAATCTTGACCGTTGCTTTGATCCAAACCCAACCAGCTTAAGGCTTGGACCAAGCCCCCTAGCTCTTATTACAAAATAAATTTGGCCACCGGCAAACTCAACCCGAACCTTAACCGTTCTGTTGCTCTCATACAGTATGAGCAGGGTAATTATGTTGGTCACGCGGCTCACCTTTCTAGACAGCCAGACCACACAATGGCCTTGTATGATGTTATGATTTATTTTATCCAAATCCTTAAGAACACTAACTTTTTAAATTTTGTTTTGGAAGTGGATGTAACACTTGAGATTAATTTAAATGGATTAATGGTACTACTCATACCAACAAGATGCATCTCCTTTTAAGGGATCTCATCACCCAAGAACTCCAAAGTTAAGCGTGCTTGCACGGGAGTAGTCTTGGAATGGGTGACCTCCTGGGAAGTTTCTCAGGGCGTGCACGAGTGATGACAAAGTGCGCGCGGAAGGCTTGTGGCGGTTTGTGAGGACAGTACTAGAGGTCTGGAGGGTGTGTTGGAGTAACTAGCTCGGGTCCATTGGAGTTTGGAACCTTATCGGGTTTAAAAAAAATCTCTAACATCTACCGGTTTCAAAAAAACGATCTTTTTTGGATGTCTATAATTTTGGGTGAAAGAGCAGAAAAACTAATTATGGTTATTTTTTTATTTACAAAAAATAGAATCAATTCCAAACTTTCTTGATATTGATTCTCTCTTTTTTAAATATCCTGAGATTCAGCTTTTAAATGAGTTAACGGGAAGAAAGTTTTGAAATAGAAAATGCCGGTTAAGTAATGCTCTACAAGGCTGTTCGCTACCCAGGGATGGATTTAGGGGGGGGGCGCGGGGGGGGCGACCGCCCCCCTTGGACATTCAATTTTTTTTACCATATATGTAATATTTTCATAAAACTTTCATAATTTAATTAGATTCGCCCCCCTTAGCTTTTAATTTTCAAAATTAATATATATAGTTTTACATAATGTAATACTTAATTGGAGATTTAAAAGAAGAAACATCTAAAATAATTTACATAACTTAAACTAATAAACAATAGAGTAACTCGTTATTTAAGATTTAGGATACTTATTATATAAGAATTCCTAGTTTTGTAATGTTTAATTATCTTTATTAGATAACAAGTACTGGATTTCGTAAAACATATATCAAACAATATTAAATACCAGACATACTAATTACACAATTTTTAGATCACGTGAAATGAATCCAAAATATAAATATTTATAGACATTAGATTACATAATTCATTTACTTCTTTCTTTCTAAAAATAATTTATTGCATGGATAATAAACTCTAAATTATTATAGAATTAATAAAAATATTAAAATATAATATGCACCATATATATGTGTGTGTGTGTGTGCATATTATTCTAAAAATTACAATCTCATACATATTAGTATACTACTATTGTAATATTAAGAAAACTTCTCATGAGTCATGACTCACGAACACCCTCCTTGGTGGACAAAAATTACAATTCAATAACCGATTCATGAGGTTAAACAATGTAGAAGTTATTAAAAATGTATTGGTTGATGTCTTTGTCATCGCCTAAACTTAGAATGTAATAGATTTAAATGTCGTTCAGGATGTGCATGAATTAATATCATTTTTTGAATAAAAATAGCCGCACAACCCTACAATAGCGAAAAAAATTTGCCCCGCTATACTAGGGGAAAAAATTTCACCCCGCTACACTAACAAAAAAAAATTCACCCCCTACACTAATGAAAAATTTCGCCCCCCTTGACTCAGAATCCTGGATCCGTCCCTGTCGCTACCCATGAGTGAAAAATCTATCTTTGAGCTTTTCACCTCAAAAATGCTCCAACCCAAAGTATTGAGGGGTGTCAAAGTGTATTGGAGCCATTTGCGGGCACCTTTGGGGAGGGAATTAAATTGGATATTGACTCTAGGGAGAAGGAAAATGCGCATGGGGAAAGCTAAGTGTTGACGACATGCCACATGTACACAAATAAGTGGCTCATTCAAAATATAATATCCCAAATATATTACGGAGTAACATTTTAAAGTGTTATAAATTTTATATTTGTATTTTAATTTTTACATAAAAATATATCAAAATTCATAGCTTTTAATGATCTTCATATGATATCAAT